ATATATATATATATATATATATATATATATAAAGAAAAAATAATAAAATATTCCTTATATTGCATCATATCCTACTGTTAGAAAAGTGCTTATGTAATGTTATCTGAAGTACGTACATATTTAATTTAAACCTATGACGTAAATGTCATAAATACACAATTAACGCATCGCGTCTAAGACGAATGAGTATTAATGCTTTAATAATACGAACAATATTAATTTTGTTGAACGAAAACGATATAAACCTAATTAGAATAATACGTTATCGGTGTAATTTTTTTCGCGCTATTCAGTGTTTGTAAAGTAGGTCGTGAATTCTGGTATACCGGATATGAGTTTAGTTATCAGAGTTGATTGTTTCGTCATAGAATTCTTGCTTCGAGGAAGAGTTAGTTTAAAAAGTATTTTAAAATGTAAATTTAAAATAATTTTTATTCTCATAATTAATAGATATTCACATTACAGAATATATCTAACAATCGATGCATTCTTTTTATCCTATGCTTCGAAGGATTCTTTTATCATTTTAGCGTCATTTTCAACGTTACCGATTCGGCTCAAAATAAGATTATTAACGTTAGCAATGGCTGGAATCAAAACTAAATTTCAATTTAAAATTACAAATGATCGTTTTAAATTTGCGAGGTCGTCGTCCAAGAAATACATTTGTAAAGTCGAGAATGTAATATTTATATTTTTTACATAAAACACACATTTTGTAGTTTTGAAAGAGAAATAATAAAAAGTTTACTTCATTGACATCTCGTATCTTCTATGGGTCGCGCGCTGAAAGCAAGTATAGACAAAAAGAGGAAATAGTGAGAGAAAGACGGACATAGGGTAAAAATATTGAAATCAGCGCCATCTTCAGAGTGTCGCAAATGAAACGCATAAAGAAACAGAAGATGGTGGCAGGATAGTTGTAGAGTAGGAATTATTGACGCCATTCTTTGATGATAAAATTAAAGATATCGAGAGATGGCGCTGATAGTTCATTCCTACGTGTATTTCTTTTGCGGCACTCTGAAGATGGCACTGTTTTCAATATTCTTATCTAATTTCTGTCTTTCTCCTATTGTTTTCTTCTTTATCTATACTTCTTCAAAATTTATACACTCAAGAGACTTCGATACGAATATAATCCAATATATATAATGTATGACGATGATTTATATGCACGAAAAATATTTTTAAAATTTGTTGATTTTTTTTTTATAAACTTTTGTGATTAAATTAAATATAATAATTCTTACATTAAATCATAAAGAGCATTCTGATTTTTGCGCGATTATATAATATTTCAGAACACAAAGTTCCATCAAATGTTAAATTTATACCGTATCTCGTCTGCGATTAAATATTACCAATGAGAATTCAAGACGAAAGACAATAACGACATCTACGAAAAGAAGTCGATAAAGCGGAACTCCGAAGCAATCCACCTTACCGGCCAGTCAGTCACATTGGATGTTCGGTACGGTTCGGGACTGTGGGTGGCAGGTAAGACAAATAGTGGTAGGGAGGGAGGGTGGGAGGTGGTTGGTCGTAAACACTCGCGCAAGAAGCACGTACATAGTCTCGCGAGAACTCGTGCCACGATTACGTCGTTCTGGAATACGAGCGTGATGGTCGCGTAGCGATCGAGCGTAACGATCGTGCGATCGCAAAAATTTGACAGAACTTGTCACGGATTTCTTTTTCTCCACGATTCGTCAATCGAATTGTATCGACGTTGTTATCGTATACAGGCAATATTTGCCGATTCGTTCGAATAGAAAGAATTATCGGAGGTATCGGTTAAATTTGCGCGGCGGTGTTTCGAATGTGCCGGTGAAACATAACCTTATGCGATGCGTCGTCCCCTGATTCGCCATCTCTCCGAGGGTGGTGCAGGTGACAACACCAGTGGCAGGAGGCAGCAATCCGTAAAGGAGGATGATCGTGCCAGTTACACCTGGAATTGCCGCGAATACGGGCATCACCTGTCTTCCTGCGACCTTCTCAAGGTTCCGACAGCCCTCGGATGCCGGGGGCAAACCACGTCGCCGGAGCCACGAATCGCGATCCACAGGTAGGCCGATTTCGATCAACAGTAGTCGTGTTTGGTAGGGGAAGCTAGCTCCGAAATTGTCCGGGTCAGTGCATCCTTCGGGGGCTCATTCTGGGTAACCGCGCTCGCGCACTACACTCAATTGTGGTTATATTTAAGCAAACAATCCTTTCGACTTTGTTTCTTGACACTGTTAAAAAAAAATTTATTGAATTAATTTCCAAGACTATAACGCACTTGTTGCGTTCAGTAAAAGCGAAATTTTTTATTTTTAGGTTAGGTTTTTTCTCTTTTTCATTCCTTATTTGAATATAATCGCAACATAATCTTATCGCCTTATAATTGAATATCGTTGTTTGTTCGGATATTAACGTATTTATCTATTTATTATTCAAATCGATAATATAAATTTTAAGATGTTAGCTTCATGTATTTATTAAATGTCACTTTCTATCATAAATATTATTTTACATTATATCTTTTTATATCAAATCGAATCGAATTAAGATCGAATGTTTCATCGCGCTCTCTATTCTTTTTACAACACGATTCGTTATTTCTCCAACGAAATTAACGATTACGACAATTTAGACGAATTCTGAAAATTTTCTCGTAAATGAGGTTAATGGATATGTATCTATATTTTCGTGTATAGATTAAGGCTGCGCCCTATATTTCGTGACCCAAATTCTCTTTCTGTTGGCTCCGGCATATATTCCGGAAAAGGAACGTTTTCTAAGCGATGGCCCTTGACTCGACGGGATTACTACGTATTATTTATGTACGTACAAAGACTAGAAACGGAATAGAATAACACGGAAATGTTTATCGCGTCGTCGACAAATTGTCGACAATCGTGATCGCGGAATTATTTCTGGAAAATAATGCGTCTTCGGTTCGACTAGTTTCCGGATTACATCAGAGATAGTTACAGAAGTTTGTCGCTTGTTTGCGCTCGTAGCATAAAATGAGAACCGGTAAACAGAATTGTAGATGAAATAGGTCATCGACGAAATTTACGATCGAAATAATCTTCTTTGATTTTGAGCGCAGCTCTTTCAAATTTTTATCTCAGAATTCGATTTCACGTCGTTTGTACGACAAGTGAAGAAGTGTCGAACGCCGCGTATTCAAAACTTGCTCCTTCTCTCGAGTATAAATTTACGAATTTCGCGTCGAGGATTGATTGATTAATTCGTTGCCACGTAAAGTACACACACGCGCTCCTATATTTCTCATTTGCGTTATCTCGGTCGTACAGGAATTAATGATTTCTCGTAAGATGGGGATTAGGATTAGTCATTCATCTTACGGTTTCGGTTATCTCAATGATTTATTGGATATGTTATTAGAATTTCCGGAGCGTATCGTGGTTTAATTAAACGTGGAAGAGATATTTGGCCAAGAGTTATATTCGCTTAGAAAGATACGCGCGAACCTATGTTCCTTCCTATTTGATTGATTTCGTAATTTTGGATCCAGGGAAAGAGACTCGTCGGATTGGATTGGTTTAATTGCACGCGATCCATCGTGCGATTGTTCGTCAAACGAGAGGGCGAAAAATTGGAGAGAACAAAAAATCGCGTTAATCTCGTCGGTTTTGATTGAAATTTTTTTCCTCCCCCTCCCCTAAAATTTTATCTCGAAAGGAACGAAATTTTGATAAAAATCTTGTTTCCGTTTAATTTTAACGTCAATTTACCGCCCGCAAATAGAGAAATTACGAGAAATTACGCGGTGTATAAACTGCGGACAAAGGAAGGGGAGACAAGCGGATAAAAGCGGGAAATAAATGGCACGCTAATTTCGTCCCTTATTCAACAAGTGTAAACACTTTTGTGCTCGCGTTCCGTTTAACCTGTTGAATAAATATGAGGCTGAAAAGAAGCAAGTTCGGCAAGGATCGTATTTCGATGCTCCTTTCTTCCAGACAATTGTTCAAGAATAGAGAGAGAGAGGGGGAAGAAAAAAAACTGGTTCGAGTCCGAAAAGAGAGTGGAAGCGCAAAAAGAGGATGTTGGATGGAGGATGCAGCATGCATTCGTAGAATATTCGGTTCTTTTAGGGAATAAATTGGAAGAATAGGGATCCTGTGTGCACGTCACGATCGGCCACACATTTGGACATTGATAAGGCATTGATAGAAACGGGGAGGGCAGGGAGAGAACGCGCGATGCATTCGTTTGTTAAAAATTTGTGACGATAAAAGTACGTTCGTTTTTTTTTTTTTTTTTTTTTTTTTATCGATTTTCAACACGACGAAGCGACGACTTTTTACTCATCGATACAATCCTTGCGTACAATTTTATTCTCGATTTATTTAACCGCGTAATCCGAGAGATTCTTGCAGCGTGGAAACAATTTTACCCGACTGGTCCAACAAGTGTATATGATCGATTCGTTCGTAGGAAAGTCGTCTTTCTTTGTCCTCTTTCCACTCTTTGCTTACATTTTTCTTCATCGTTTAACCATCGCTCTGATAAAATTAAATCCTAATTGGCAAGTGATAGTTTTGATCAAATCAGACACGATCGACAAATGAGAAATTAGGGAAAGGTTAAATAAACGTTATGAAACAAATCGTTCGAAATTCTTTTAATTAACGGGATTAATTGCATTCTCGTTCAGCCAATTAATCCTTCGTATCCTTAAATCCTTTATTATTATTTTTACGAACGAAATTACGCCATACAAGTGTAGGGCAGAAGATGCGTGTTGTTTCCAATTCGATAGGAAAAAATAATAATAACATCATTTGATACCCTTACTTCTGAATCGTACACACGATAAATGGAAAATATACATTGTCAATCACCGGAGAATTTTTATAAACTTGTCGCGTCTCTTTCTCACTCGAGTAGCTCTCACATTACGCGAGAATGAGAGAAAGAGAGAGAGAGATCCTGACAATGGAAAGGTTTGAAAATTCGCCTAACCTGTTGATAAATCGCACAATTTATATAATCCTATCCTAACTTTACTTTTTATCGAGTATAATGAAACGACGATTTCACGTTTAGCCGCGCAAAATTATCGGCGTTTAAACAAAATTAACCCAGTTTCTTTCAATTACGCGCTCCTTCTTCCAACCATAATTTCCAACTAAACGAATAAACCACATATATATATATATATATACGTAAATATTGACCTGGAAAATAATGGTCTGGAAATTGATGGCGATTCAGCTCCTTCTCCCCGTGTTATCATGTATGTTCAATAAAAAAACGCGTTGTTTTACATAATGGAAAAAAGGGGAGCGTGGGCGAAAGAGGGGAGGGGAAGGTGTAGAGGACATCCTCATTCCACCCGCGATAGTCGAGCGGAGATGATCGTTGAGTAATAAATTAGTTTTGCCGGAGGAGGTAACGCGGGAGATTATGCAATCGGTGGCGATAAGTGGGGCAATTCGATGAGGAGGAGCGGAGATGACCTTGACTACGGAAACGGAAGTCGGAAGCCGACTTTGTCTCGATCGGTTTTTTCGTTCCCCCTCCCCCTCCCTCCCTCTCT